TTAATTGATATAAAAATCCAACTACTTCAGCAGTTTGTTTGCCAGTTATTGAGTACCAACTGTGTTCAACATTGTTATTTCTATTCATTTGAAATGATAAATGTATGTGCTTGTTGTGATATGGTCAATAAAACCAGTCTTATAGGAAGAATACTCTTAAAATACAGCGAGTTCTGGTCATTATTGTTGCATTTGTGTGTGTGTGTGTTTTGAATACATATATATATATTTCAATTAAATACAGCATTTATTGAATTTTTATCACATGTACCACATGTTCAGATCAACACTTTACATGAATTATCGTAATGCTTATAATAACAGATGGATTAACGAATTTGTCTTTTTAAAAGATAAGTAAATTGAGGTTGAGTTTCAATTTTGTGTAATTCAGCCTATTATACAGAAGTTAAATAAACCTATCCTAGGATGTCACAACCTTTGGAAGATAATAATTAAAAATGCTTATGATTTGTTAAACCCATTGAGCAAAATCATGTTTTGTGAAAGAACCCACATTTCAGAAGTCATATTCATTCTCCTTTTGTCTTTAAGGCCAGAGACATGATAATTATTAAGTGCAGCTTGTCAGGACAGAAAGTGTAAGTGTTGGTGTATTGTAGGAACAGGAGAGAAACATGAATAGGAAATTGTCTTTTGGAAATTCTTACAGTATAAACCTTTAAGGAGTTACTTCTGGAAATATGGGGTGCCTTTGCTCAGAATGTGGAACAATGGTTCCCGGCAGAAATAGTATTATACACAAAGCTCTGAGACATCATGGAGGCACAGATGAAAGTCCAAAGAGAAATGTCCGGTAGAAAGAGGATCACTAAATGGAAGAAGCTAACTTTGGAATAGAGCTGGTGACAGGCAGTATGATGACTTAAATACTGCCAATAGCAGGAAAAAGGTCCATGGTAATATCTGAGTGAAGAAAAAATTGCCAACTGATCTAGATTTGAAGGTCATAACCTCTTGCTGGGATAGTTTACCAGTGTAATTTATGATCGTATGGTCTAGATTCTACAAAATCTCCTCCATTCAACAAAATCTATAATTAGTTCTCTTTTTCCATTTTCTTCATTCATTCTAACCCTTTTCTAAAGATGGCACTTTGTGTCTTGTGAATGCAATCCCTTAGCAGTTCTCAGCTAGTAGCTGAAACTTTGGATAAAATGGTATAAGCATGAGGGATTGTGACATAAATTTTGCCTTGCTATGGCAGTTATTGAAATATGTTTAGAATTTTGACTATTTGTCATGTAAGGAATGCACAGTGCCATTCTAACTTTGTATTTTTATATTCTGGTATTTGGGGGGTTGGAAATTGACTATATGAGATTCTTGCAGCTGGGTCTCAGACATGTTGAGAAGGCTGAAGAAGGAAAAATACAGAAGGAGAAAGCAGGGATGGGGGACGCTGCATCCCTCAAATAGGATACCACTGGACACTGAGCAGTGAACAGCCTCGGGTTTTGTCGGACACCATTTTGGAATATTTGGACACAGTTTCTTGAAGGATGAGAGATCTAATCAATGGTAATAAGATGATTAAAATATTAATATGAATGAATGCTTAGGCAGAGTTGACAGTACAACTCTTCTGTACAGTAGATAGCATTAACAAATGACAGGATTTGGAAAATCAGTATTTGGAAATAATCATAATTGTTTCAGACAGGAATCATCAAATGATGCTAAAACTTGGAGAAAATTTTAAGAGAAATAGGACACTTAGTGAGCAATTTGAGGTCCTTATCAGTTACAAAGGGAAAGCAGTAGCTTCCTGATGGGCAACATGGTTGATGCACCTGAATTAAAGAGGTGAACGTTAATACCACCAGTAGTGGGAACATCAGGCAGCACTGGTAGGATGCACTGAGAAGAACACAGTCTCATTTCTGTGGTATTACTGACTAAAGTATATAAACCTGAGTCTACTCTTGAGGAAACATCAGTCTCAAATTGACTGACATTCTGCTTTTAGTATTCAAACATACTAATTTCACTGAGGAAATAGTCCAGATTATTTCCGACTAAATAGACACGAGAATGGAATATAACATTGATTCAGGATGTCTGTGAAAGGACATGGGAAGTTGGCAAAGTTTGAAGACTGTCCCTCAAGTAGATTATAATGTTATGTGAGTATTAATTGCCAATGTTATATAATTGCCTGAGGTTATATAACAGAAAATTCTTGTCTTTGAGAAATTAAAACAAAGGATAAAAGGATAATGTCATAGCTGTAATTTTCAAAGCACTTAGATAAAATAATATACATGTTTCAAAAAATGAAACAGGTGTTATAAGATGTTACCTAATAGGGAATCCAGGTAAAAGTTATCCAGGAATTATGGATAGTCTTGTATCTGTTCAGTAGGTCTGGAATTAGTTGATGAAAATAATGCAAACGAACGTGCCAAAAGGAGTGGTTTGAGCATATGGCTTTGAGCATACATAAATGCTCAGGAAACATGAAAATGTGGAATAAATGCATGAGTACTGTAATACCAGCAGGCCTTGTAGATACCTGCCTTTGAAGCATTTATATTAGAAGGAAGCCTTTTTACCCAGAATTTTTTCACTTAGCCTAATGTTTTCAAGGTTTGACCATGTTGTAGCATGTATCAGATCTCCATTTTCTTTGATGGAGAAGTGGTGTTCTATTGTATAAATACCACATTTTGCTTATCCACTCATCAGTTTTTGGCTATTATGACTAATCCCGCTAGCAATATTTATGTGGAGGTTTTTGTGTGTTTATGTATTCAGTTCTCTTATACATGAGAATATAGTAACTATGTTTATTTGACATTTTGAGGTCCTGTCTGTAAGATAATTTTTGCTAGGTTTGAAGGCAGATAATAGTCTATGCAAAATGAATATTCTGTTGAATATTGATGTGAACTATTACGTAAAAAAAAAAAATACATTGAAATAGTAAGTATAGAGGTTACATCTTGGTTTTTGTACTCAACAAGCAGTTTTATGTTTTATTTTTCAGGAACTCTCCCATACTGAATTAAGGCTGGGATATTAGAGAAAAGGAAAAACATGAAACTCACTGGTGTTTTATGGCACTTTGAGTTCTCCAGTTTACCTTCAAACATTTCGCCTTCTACGTTCTCCTCTACCATATCAGTGCATCCCTCTGAGATTCTTAATTCTTTGGTTGTATAAAGATGGACTATGCTCACTCCATCTTACTTCTCTTAGGTCTTACAATGGCAGTGCCCTATTACATTTTGTTCTATTCTATGATTTCCATTTATTTTATGAAATTTTTCGTCTATGTTTTCTATTCTTGCCATCTTAATTTCTATGTAACATTTTGAAATAGATTCCAAAGTTTATATATAGAGAGACAGAGAGAGAGTGAGAGAGAGACAGAGATTTCTACTTCACTATTGAAGTAGATTCCTAAAGTTTTTTATCTCTTCTAGAATATTGGTTTCACAACAGCCCTATCATGTGTATTTAATTTTACCCACCACAGGGCATTTTCAGGGAGTCTTTATTTGGTGGAATAAAACTTTAGAATCTCTGATTTAAAGAGAAAATTGCTCACAGGCATGAGCCACTGCACCTGGCCGGTTTTTACTATTTAAAGAATGAAGAATTTTAGCAGTGTGGGGTGGCTCATGCCTGTAATCCCAGCACTTTGGGAGGCTGAGGTGGGCAGATCACTTGAGGCCAGGAGTTCAAGACCAGCCTGGCCAACATGACGAAACCCCATCTCTACTAAAAATACAAAAATTAGCCAGGCATGATGGCACATGCTTCTAGTCCTAGCTACTTGGAAAGCTTAAGCAGGAGAATCGCTTGAACCAGAGACACAGAGGCTGCAATGAGCCTAGACTGCACCACTGCACTCCAGCCTGGGCGACAGAGCGAGACTCCATCTCAAAAATAAAGAATTGGAGGAGGAAATAAATGGATAAATGGCAAAGGTGACAAAGGACCAAAGATCTGTGACTTGTGGAAAGATGGCTCTATGGTAATTATTACAGAAACAATGTTTGTATCTTATTTTTTAGTGAGTTTTGTATATTCTCTAATCTGATTTACTTTTGTTTTTAATAGTTTGCTGCAGGTCTAGAAGATGTTACAGAATTTCAAGCAAGAGAGGTGAGCAGTTACCGTGGTGATTTCAAAATTGTTTATGTGTGTTGTGGCCCGTGATGTCAGAATTTCAGAATCTGAGAATTCATGATTTCAGAGGCTCAAAGGAGAATATTTTTATAATAGATTTTTTTTGCTATGTGAATATCCCTACTTTGTTCAGGGAATCTCATTATTTTTTCCCTTTTTTGAAAAAAGGGATTTTGTTTTTTGGTAGTAACCTGAATAAATTGGGGGAAGTATTGATGTATTTCCTTTTCTCTCCATTTTTTTGTTGGATGAAAATAATCTTCTAGTGAAATTCACTGTGTTCAATATTTATTTTTTAAAGAATAGAGGTGGGGTCATGCCGTGTTGCCCAGGCTGCCCTTGAACTCCTGGGCTCAAGCAATCATCTTGCCTCAACCTCCTGAGTAGCTGCGACTATAGGCATGTGCTGCCATGCCTGGCTTAAATATTGATTTAAAAATTTTTATCTGGCACATTCTGATCACAGATGTTTCTACTTACATTTGTCATGTAATCACAGTATATATTGATTTTGCTGCCTCGCTTACTCCTAAAAATTTTAGTTCACTGAATTGGTCTTAACTGGACTTAAAATTTTTTTCCCTGGCCAGGCACCTTGGCTCACGCCTATAATCCCAGCACTTTGGGAGGCCGAGGCGGGTGAATCACCTGAGGTCAGGAGTTTGAGACTAGCCTGACCAACATGGAGAAACCCCGTCTCTATTGATAATACAAAATTAGCCAGGCGTGGTGGCACATGCCTGTAATTCCAGCTACTCAGCAGACTGAGGCAGGAGAATTGCTTGAACCCGGGAGGCAGAGGTTGCGGTGAGCCGAGATCATGCCATTGCGCTCCAGCCTGGGCAACAAGTGCAAAACTCTGTCTCAAAAAAAAAAAAAAAAAAATTCCCAATAGATTTTAATCTAATTTTATTGGAACAATTCAGTCATATGTTTTTTCATGCTATGTATGTGAGAGTTCCATCATTCAGATACTAAATAAATGTCTACTGTACATTTACTGTTCTCACTGATGATGCATTAGATAACCATGCACAAAATAAGCCTGGCTGTGGAAATGCTTATTTGTTGGAAGGGCGCTTGTTTGGATCGATGATGAGAATAATTGTCTGAGGATGCTGAGGGACTCATTCCAGATGTCAATCTGAGGTCCAGATGTGTGGCCCTCCACTAGGACAAATAAGACTCTCAGAGCCTGGCTCTATTTGGGGATCCCTCAGTGACAACAGAGTACCCCTGTGAGCATGCCTTTTCTGTCTCTCCTGAGAGGGCATTAGCATCCTGTCTTAGGAGTCAGTATGCTCTTTAGTATGCTTACTGACCGAAGACTCACTTTATTTTGTTCATTTTGAGCAGAGAATTGTAGATAGATACATATATGGGAAATATGTTCTTGATTAACAAATGAAAAAGTTTCAGTCAAGAAAGGTCAAGCAACTGTGATGTATAGTGAAGGAAGGGAACACTGCGTGCCTATATTAAATATTGACAAAGGAACCAATTTTAGTGCCTTGTTATTTTTACTGTTGAGTATTTTCTGAGACCATGTCTTTTTCTTCTATTTTGTTTTGCTGAGGTAGAGGAGGGCTGGCATGAGGTCCTCCACTTCAGAAAATAGGGGTGAGTAGTTAAACCAACATCCTTTGGAATTCATATACATCACGTGTTCCATGTCACATCCTGAGGTCTTTTTGTTGATTTTTTAGTAGCTTACTGGATAATATCTAAATAATGTATCTTTTACTTTGGTGAGTCTCTCCACCTTCATTTCTGAATCATTGTCCTTTACATTTTTATTCCATTTGAATTTTGCATGAAATGACAAATGTAGAATTTTGCCCAATTGATTTTATTTATTCAGTTATTTATTTGGGAAGACAGGGTCTCTCTCTCTGTTACCCAGGCTGGAGTACAGTGGCCCAGTCATAGCTTACTTTAGCTCTTCACTCTGTAGCCCTGAACTCCTGGGCTCAAATGATTTTCCACACTCAGCCTCCCAAGTAGGTAGAAATAGAGGTATGTGTCACCACACATAGCTAATTTTTAAATTTTTTGTTTCATGGAGATAGGATCTTGGTATTTTGCAAAGGCTAGTCTTGAACTACTGGACTCAAGCAACCCTCTTGCTTTGGCTTCCCAAAGTGCTAGGATTACAGGCAGGAGCCACCATGCCTGGCATCATTAGGGATATTGGTCTGTGATTCACTTTTTTGATGATGTCTTTTGTTTCGATTAAAAATTAGGGTAATAGACTCATGGAATAAGTTGGGAAATGTTTTCTGGTCTCCTGTTTTTTTAGAAGAGTTGGTAAATGATCGATGTTATTTCTTTAATGATTTGGTAGAATTCATCAGAGAAATGATTTGTGTAGGATTTTATTTGTGGGAACTTTTTGAGTAGCTCATTCAATCTCTTGTTAAAGGTGACTTTGATTTTCTGTTTTTCCTTCTTGTGACAGTTCCTGTAATTTATGTATTTCTAGGTATTTCCCCCTTTAATCTAGGTTATCTAATTTGTTGACATACCTTATTTCTATAAGAGTGTTAGTAATAGTCTGATTTTCATTCCAGATTTTATGAAAATTGGGTCTTCTGTTTTCTGTATTGTAGGTATCGTTATGTCAATTTTTTAAGAGACAGAGTCTTGCTATGCTGTTTATGCCGGCCTTGAACTTCTGAGCCTAAGCAATCCTGCTGCCTCTGCATCTTGAGTAGCTGGGAGTACAGGAACACACCACCACACCTGGCCTGTCACTAGACAGACAAAAAATTTCAGTGAACCAGCTTTTGATATTTTTATTTTTTCTTCTCTATGCTTTGTTTTATTTATTGGCATTTTATTCTTATTTCTTTTATTCTACTTGATTTAACTTTGCTTTGTTCTTCTGTTTTCTTAAGGTAAAATTTAGATTGATTTGAGATTTTCCTTTATTTAATATGGACATTTACAGCTATAAATTTCTCAAAGAACTCCTTTAGCTACACAGACATTTTCTTTTGTTGTGTTTTGTTTCCTTTCATTTCGAACTATTTTATAAATTTTCTTCTTTCCATGACCCAAGGATTCTTAGTAATGTGTTAATTTCCATGTATTGTGAATTCCCCCCAATTTTTTTCATTTATTTCTGATTTGATTCTATTGTGGTTGAACAACATACTTTTCTGATTTCTTTACTTTCAGATTTGTTGAGACCAGTGTGTGGTCTAGTATCTACCCTGGACACTGTTCCATGTGCACTTGAAAATAATATATTTTCTGCTGGTTAGATTGTTCCATAGATGGATGTTAGATGTAACTGCTTTACAGTGTTTTTTGCTTCCATTTCCTTGATCTTCTGTCTCATTGTTACATTCATCATTGAAAGTGAGGTATTGAAATTTTCAATTATTATAACATTGATTTTGCCTTCCATTCTGTCATACCATTTTTTAATTTAATTTTGAGGCTATGTTGTTAGATGCACATATCTTTATTATTGTTACATCTTCCTGATGGATTGACAGTTTTATCATCATGAAATGTCCTTCTTTGTCTTTACCAACGATTTTTATCTTGAAATTTATTTAGCTTGATAATTGTAGTTTTTATCTGACTTATAGCCCCTAAACTCTCTTTGGTTACTGTGTGCAGTTTATCTTTTCCTTTCATTCTTTTCCTGTCTACCTGTTTTTAATTCAAAACAAAATCTTTGAGACAGGATCTCACTCTCACCAATGCTGAAGTGCAATGGCATGATCATAGCTCACTGCAACCTGAAACTCTTGTATTTATTTATTTATTTATTTATTTTTTTTAAGTTTATGTTTTTTTAATAAGCAAATTTTAAGAAATGTTGTTTAAAATACATGGGAAGGTAAGACGTTTCCATCTTAGAAAAATAATTAATTTGAATTTATATTAAAATCCCTACACAGCAAAGAGTTAAAGGGAATAAAATAAGGATATCTTTTTTCTGACATTTGAAAATGTATGTAGTATGGCTATTTATTTTTTTTAAAGTAAGAGGATTCTTGAAAATAAAGAATAAACTCTTTTTTTTTAAATTTATTTATTATTATTAAACTTCAAGTTGTAGGGTACATGTGCACAACGTGCAGGTTTGCTACATATGTATACTTGTGCCATGTTGGTGTGCTGCACCCATCAACTCGTCATTTACATCAGGTATAACTCCCAATGCAATCCCTCCCCCCTCCCCCCTCCCCATGATAGGCCCCGGTGTGTGATGTTCCCCTTCCCGAGTCCAAGTGATCTCATTGTTCAGTTCCCGCCTATGAGTGAGAACATGCGGTGTTTGGTTTTCTGTTCTTGTGATAGTTTGCTGAGAATGATGGTTTCCAGCTGCATCCATGTCCCTACAAAGGACACAAACTCATCCTTTTTTATGGCTGCATAGTATTCCATGGTGTATATGTGCCACATTTTCTTAATCCAATCTGTCACTGATGGACATTTGGGTTGATTCCAAGTCTTTGCTATTGTGAATAGTGCTGCAATAAACATACGTGTGCATGTGTCTTTATAGCAGCATAATTTATAATCCTTTGGGTATATACCTAGTAATGGGATGGCTGGGTCATATGGTACATCTAGTTCTAGATCCTTGAGGAATCGCCATACTGTTTTCCATAATGGTTGAACTAGTTTACACTCCCACCAACAGTGTAAAAGTGTTCCTATTTCTCCACATCCTCTCCAGCACCTGTTGTTTCCTGACTTTTGAATGATCGCCATTCTAACTGGTGTGAGATGGTATCTCATTGTGGTTTTGATTTGCATTTCTCTGATGGCCAGTGATGATGAGCATTTTTTCATGTGTCTGTTGGCTGTATGAATGTCTTCTTTTGAGAAATGTCTGTTCATATCCTTTGCCCACTTTTGGATGGGGTTGTTTGTTTTTTTCTTGTAAATTTGTTTGAGTTCTTTGTAGGTTCTGGATATTAGCCCTTTGTCAGATGAGTAGATTGCAAAAATTTTCTCCCATTCTGTAGGTTGCCTGCTCACTCTGATGGTAGTTTCTTTTGCTGTGCAGAAGCTCTTTAGTTTGATGAGATCCCATTTGTCAATTTTGGCTTTTGCTGCCGTTGCTTTTGGTGTTTTAGACATGAAGTCTTTGCCCATGCCTATGTCCTGAATGGTACTACCTAGGTTTTCCTCTAGGATTTTTATGGTATTAGGTCTAACATTTAAGTCTCTAATCCATCTTGAATTAATTTTCCTATAAGGAGTAAGGAAGGGATCCAGTTTCAGCTTTCTACTTATGGCTAGCCAATTTTCCCAGCACCATTTATTAAATAGGGAATCCTTTCCCCATTTCTTGTTTCTCTCAGGTTTGTCAAAGATCAGATGGCTGTAGATGTGTGGTATTATTTCTGAGGACTCTGTTCTGTTCCATTGGTCTATATCTCTGTTTTGGTACCAGTACCATGCTGTTTTGGTTACTGTAGCCTTGTAGTATAGTTTGAAGTCAGGTAGCGTGATGCCTCCAGCTTTGTTCTTTTGACTTAGGATTGTCTTGGAGATGCGGGCTCTTTTTTGGTTCCATATGAACTTTAAAGCAGTTTTTTCCAATTCTGTGAAGAAGCTCATTGGTAGCTTGATGGGGATGGCATTGAATCTATAAATTACCTTGGGCAGTATGGCCATTTTCACGATATTGATTCTTCCTATCCATGAGCATGGTATGTTCTTCCATTTGTTTGTGTCCTCTTTGATTTCACTGAGCAGTGGTTTGTAGTTCTCCTTGAAGAGGTCCTTTACATCCCTTGTAAGTTGGATACCTAGGTATTTTATTCTCTTTGAAGCAATTGTGAATGGAAGTTCATTCCTGATTTGGCTCTCTGTTTGACTGTCACTGGTGTATAAGAATGCTTGTGATTTTTGCACATTAATTTTGTATCCTGAGACTTTGCTGAAGTTGCTTATCAGCTTAAGGAGATTTTGGGCTGAGACAATGGGGTTTTCTAAATATACAATCATGTCGTCTGCAAACAGGGACAATTTGACTTCTTCTTTTCCTAACTGAATCCCCTTGATTTCTTTCTCTTGCCTGATTGCCCTAGCCAGAACTTCCAACACTATGTTGAATAGGAGTGGTGAGAGAGGGCATCCCTGTCTTGTGCCAGTTTTCAAAGGGAATTTTTCCAGTTTTTGCCCATTCAGTATGATATTGGCTGTGGGTTTGTCATAAATAGCTCTTATGATTTTGAGGTACGTTCCATCAATACCGAATTTATTGAGCGTTTTTAGCATGAAGGGCTGTTGAATTTTGTCAAAAGCCTTTTCTGCATCTATTGAGATAATGATGTGGTTCTTGTCTTTGGTTCTGTTTATATGCTGGATTATGTTTATTGATTTGCGAATGTTGAACCAGCCTTGCATCCCAGGGATGAAGCCCACTTGATCATGGTGGATAAGCTTTTTGATGTGTTGCTGAATCCGGTTTGCCAGTATTTTATTGAGGATTTTTGCATCGATGTTCATCAGGGATATTGGTCTAAAATTCTCTTTTTTTGTTGTGTCTCTGCCAGGCTTTGGTATCAGGATGATGTTGGCCTCATAAAATGAGTTAGGGAGGATTCCCTCTTTTTCTGTTGATTGGAATAGTTTCAGAAGGAATG